GAGGCCACACATAGAGAATTGTGTTCAGTTTTGGGCCCCTCACTACAGAAAGGATGTGGACAAATTGAAGAGTCTAGCAGAGGTTAATGAAAATGCTGATAAGGCTGGGGAACATGACTTATGAGGAGAAGCTGAGGGAACTGGGCTTATTTAGTTTAGAGAAGAGAAGACTGAGAAGTGATTTAATAGCAGTCTTCAACTAGCTGAAGCAGGGGTTGAAAGAGGATGGAGCTACACTCTTCTCAGTGGTGGCTGATGACGGAACAAGGAGCAATGGTCTCAAGTTGAAGCAAGGAAAATTTAAGTTAAATATTAGAAAGACCTTTCTTACTAGGAGGGTAGTAAAACAATGGAGCGGGTTACCTAGAGTGGTTGTGGAATCTCAATCCATGGAGGTGTTTAAGACCCAGCTAGAGCCTTGGTTGGGATGGTCTAGTTTGGGATGGTTCTGCTTTGATCAGGGGATTGGACTACGTGACCTCCTGGGGTTCCTTCTAACCCTAATTTTTAGGGCTGTGCGAAGCTTTGGGCAGAGCTTAGGTTCTGGGGCAAAACTTGTGACATGGGTGACACTGTGTGTGTTAATGCACAACAGGGTGAAAGCTGCAGGGGTGGTGGCTCCTGCTGAGGCCACGATGCCTGCCAGCTGTCGAGGAGATCGGTACAGGGGTTCTGGCTTCTGGGGCCCTGCACCCCTAGTTGCTGACAGAGAAAACTCATGACATGGGGGGCTTGTGCAACTGTGTCTGTCTTAGGGCATGGGAGACGCTACTGAAGACCTGGCTGCTAAGCTACTGTGTTACCAGTTACCAATCAATCATGATTCACTCAATCAGCTCAATACACAATACCTAGCTAATGTAGCCAGTTACTTACCATCAAGTAACACCTACAAAACCAGACACTAAGGAGAGGAAATAATCAATACAGACAATCCACTGCCCCAAGACATAGACAAGTCAGTTGCACAAGCACGCATGTCACGAGTTTTCTGTCAGCAGCTAGAGGTGCAGGGCCCCAGAACCCCTGCACCTATCTCCTTGACAGCTGGGAGGCATCGTGGGTTCAGTAGGGGCCATCATCCCTGCAGCTTTCACCCTGAACCTTAACACACAGTGTCACCCATGTCATGAGTTTTACTTGTCTACAACTTGATGTTCAGTTCCCCCCAAACCTCTGCACCAATCTCTTTGAAACTTGGCAGGCTTTGTGTCTTCACCAGGGGCCACCACCCCTGCAGTTTTGACACCTCCCCCTCCCCCCCCCCGTGTTGTAACACAAAGACGTGACATGAGTTTTCTTTCAAGAATTTGGGGTAAAGTTTCCCCCAAACCCCTACACTGATCTTCTTGAGACTTGGCAGGCTTCATGCCGTTGGCACAGGCTAGTATCCCTGCAGGTTCCATCCAAATCAGACAAAAAACAACAAAGTTATAGATATTTCATTGATTCAACATTATACTCTACGGCTGGATCTCTGAGGCGGCTCCGAAGTTTCGGAGCTGCTTTGGCCAGATCGAAGCAGAAACCTAGTCCAGAGTTCCAGATTGGATCTGTGGCATCCAAAGCAGCTGGATCAGAAGCCAGATGAGGTCTCTGCTGCCTCACACAGGCCTACACATTTTCTATGATTGTATAATTCTAACGTTACATCTGCAATCTTAAATTGGGGTCTTTATGATTCTTTTTACTGCAGTGATGTGTCTGATATGGTTGGGGAAATATGTTCATGGATTTGAACATGTAATGACATTTATTTATCCAGCATGTCATTTGCATGCATTCAGTATATAGACATGCAGAACAATCAAGACAATTTACGAATATTTTGCACTTGGCTTTTATCAGCTCACCTAGCTGATCCCAGTCTTGCTTTTAATTTCCCTGTGTTTACTGAGTTAATGGAGAAAACTGTTGCTCTTTAAATTGTAGGCACATGTGTCTGCCAATCATTTGCTACAAAGGTTTGTACTATGACTGTAAGTTATAGTTTAGTACTGAGTGAGGCAGATTTGCTTAAATGTACTAATAATTTACCAGGTGTATTGCAGAGGGGACTAATGATTGCTTGCAACCTGCTCATTCTTCGTTAGATGTACAATTAGCTCTCTACCACTTTTGTAATAAATGATACGATCCTATTGAGTCCTTTGGAGAAGTTGGCAGAACATTTGTTCTGTTATGTACAGCTCTTGAGTAGCTCAATTTATAGTGCTTTTTGGGTCACTGCCATTTAGATACAAAAAGGGAACTGTCATGACCATCGCCCTGTTCAGCTTCTATGTGAGATTTTGCAGATGAGTTTTAGCTCCTGCAATTTGGCTTCAATTGCTACTGGTAATATACCCTTCCCCCAGCGTTTACGAAGCAGGAACCATAAAGTGTACATGCCTCAGATATAAAGTGACTCTCTTTTGTTAGAGCTCACATCTTGCATGTATATATACAATTTCTTATTTTGCCTACAAAACTTCTTCCTGACTTTTAAATCAAAACTTAATTATCTTGTGATAGCCAGAAAACTTTAGAGACAGAGGCAGGCATGTGATATTGTAAGCCCACCTGAATGACATTTTCAGAAAATGTTCTAAGCAAAAAACTTCCATAGTTGGGTCTTTAATTAAGAAGTTTTAACCATGACCTGGACTGTAAATTATTGCAAAGAAAAATCCATTCATAGATTTAAGTGGAGTATTTTGTTCTATTAGCATTTTCTTCCTTCTTGAGATGATGATCCTTCAATGTCCTGTAAAAAATTAAGTTTTCAATGTTTTACTGGTCTTCACTGGAATAAAATTGAGATGTTTTGATTTTTGTTTTTGGAGGAACATCTACTCTAGAATCACCAGATAACAGCCCACTGCAGAGAACACTTACCCAGGGTGTGGGACATATTCTGCCAAAGGTGAGTGAACATATTCTGCCAAAATATATTCTGTCTCCAAAGGTGAGTGCCCTTAACCATCAAGGTACTTTAGAGCAGTGATCTCCAAAGTGGGGCATGCACACCCCAGGGGGTGCGCAAGATGATCCATTGGGGTGTGGGAAGAAAATATTAGAACTTCTATTTAAATTGATTTTTTTATCTAAAAAAAAAAAAAGAAAGAAATTAAGCTTACTAATATTTAATGGATTGACACTGGCGCCCTCATTCGGTCCATATGTCAGATGGTCAAGTATCACATACAGTACGCGAGTAGTACATGTATATAATTTATAAATAAATAAATATACATATACTGGGGGTGCGTGCTTAAAAATTTTTTACTTATAGGGGTGCGCGATCAAAAAGGTTTGGAGACCACTGCTTTAGAGTATTTAAGTGGATGGATCTTTCTGCCTTTATTTCTTGACCAGAGAGACCTTTCATAGAGAATATTTTCTTGAAACAAACATTCCCACAAAAATCACCATTTTCCAGCAAAACATGTTGTAGTAAAAAGTAATGCTGATTGAATTTTTCTAACAGCCAAACCTAACAATGCATACAGCAGTTTATATCTTGCTGAGCAGTTACTTATCCATACTGGGTGCAGCCCAAATTTGTTGCCAACCACTCTTAGCTCAGGCAGCTTTAGTATTCCCATTATTTAGAAGACAATGTTTACCTTCTCTTTTCGTGTGCTTGGAAGAATGTGTCTACTTTGTCAGACCCAATTTTTTAAAATTTAGCCAATTAAGCTTTCTTCTGAGCTCCATGAAGAATCTAAGAGAACAGCTGGGATGGTAATGGAAAAATATAGCATTGTTGTACAAATCCAGATTGGAACAAAGTTATCAGAAAACAACTGCTTGATATGGAGTTGAAATTTGGTTCTAGATCAAAATAAAACCTGCTTAATATGCTGGAGTGTTTGATCTGGTGGTCTAGGTAAAGTCTTTTTATGACATTTACCAGTGCCACCCTTGGAGTGACTAAATCCCTTAAACAATGCCAAATGTGAGCAAGTTTGGATATAATAATGCTTAATATACTCACAAACATCTGTAGGATGTATACAGTGCTTGACAGAAGGATAGATTAGCATTAGCATTAAAACTTGTGAATTTGGGAGATAAATAGACATGCTCCAAGACTTGCTTCTTTGCAATGACATGGATGAGAATAATTATCATACAGAATTACTACCTTGTGCTAGGCAGTTTTATTGAGTTGGGCTGACTACTAAACAGACCAGCTAGCATACTGCCCAAGAGATGATAAACATTTCTGAGCTTCCTGCCACCAAATACAGATTTGAGTTCTCTGCCTGCATCACACCTGGGCTGTAGGAGACTGCTTATAGACGACAACCTTTTAGAGCTCCCAGAACCAAGGAGCCTAAACACTAAGAGCAATAATGGGCAAAAGGCTACCTAAACAGACATGCCTCTGAAAAATACTAACAAACATTAAATTATGTTAACAAGCTCCTACAGTCCCCTTCCTAATTTCTTATTTGAACAGGAGTTCTTGTATATGTCCCCATCATGGGGACATACAAGCCATCTGTGAATAACTTGTCATCTTTTTGGAAAATCAATAGTTAAGTCCTTTCAGGACTTTACTAAAGAAAATAAAATGTGATGTGTAACAGAAACATACATTGAGTAAAATAGAGGATATGTTTGATCATATGTATTCTTTATCCACTCTCAGTATATCCAAGGTTGGGTCTAGGTATCTGAAAAGTGCATGACTAATCGAAAAGGCTCAATGCTGTCTGAGGCCCAGCAGGTAGGAGGCCCACCCAATTGAAGAGGCTGCCCTTATAAAACACCTGTTTAAAAAAGGATAGGAATGGCCTTCCTCACATAATTTATTCTTCTGCTCTTTAGTCCTCTCATCAGAAGTGTTATCATCAATCACACAGCTGGAGCCCCAGTCTGAGATTCCCTTACTCATCCACACATAAGACAACAGGCAGTAGAGTACAGGAGGTGATTAACCTACCTTACCCCCCTGCACAGTCCAGCAAAGGTGAAGGACTATTAATCTCTGTAATATAATGACAAATCAGACATTTCCTGCCAGTAAATGGTCACCAAGTGCCCAGATGGTTGCCAACTGCTGTGAATTTCCTAGTCTGTACATTGGTGAAAATATGAAATATGTAAAGAAAAAAATCAGGGACAATTATTATGCTTTGAACAGCACACAGGTGAATGGCACAACTGCCAGATATGGCAGTTTCTTTACAGTATTAGACTGTTTCCTCATAGTTAAAGACCAGCTATTTACTGTCACTCTTAAGCCTTCCTGTTCGATGATCCTGTTAATTAGAGATCAGGATAACTCTTTACACTGGGAGTATTGAAGAGCACTGGAATCCTGATTATGACAAAGCATTTCTGGATTCTGAGCTACAATAGCCACTATAACAGACCCCAGTGTAAGTCAAAGAATCATCACAGGCTCATTTGGGAGTCCTACTACTGGATATGACCTGTGCTAAAAGCCAGAGTCTCAGTGCTTATAGACACACTCCATTTCACATCTTTTCTAGCCCCAGGTCCAGTGTAGGTATTCCATACACCCTAACATCAGTAAGCATGGGCAGATCTAGAATTTTGGAAAGGTGAAGATGATGAGGTACATCATTACATATAAAACAACACATTTTTCTCCAGTTAAATATCAACTAAAAACTTTAGTAATATGCAAGGTACTAGGGCTATGTTATTCAGTCTAAGATTGAAGCAAAACCACATACGACTCATTGGAATGAGTTAAAACAGTCTGTAGGGCTGTGAAATAGTATCTTCATTATCAGGAGCAATTAATGGACAGCAGAATTTTAGAACATAGGGTAGCTTGATTGGTGGAACACCAAAGTCATTCAAAAGAAGAGATGTTGTTAACACCTGTGGAATAAATAATTTAGAAGGGGTCAGGTAGATGATAATGAGCCACTAAATCTATTGATTCTCTCAGCACCACCTGACTAGAAATGCTGCTGCCACAGCCAGACAGTTGTTTTAAAACTTTGGGTGGACCAGATTTGACCCTGTTTGTGAGGAAGGGAAATAGAGTCCACTTACAGAATACAGGGAGCAGCCCCAAACAATGGGTTCTTCTTACATTTATACACTTTGGTTTATACTCATTAACATTTACTCCACCTTTGTCCCATCTTTGTCCCACCAATTTCTCCTCCCATCTCAAGCTCCGTCTCTATTTACTGTTTGGAATTGCCTATGCATTTCATTCATTTACATGCCTTTTTGCTATGAGCGCATGTCCAAGGCTATAAACCCTCTTCTTTCAGTCAATGGGCAGACTCTGGAGGTTTCCTTACCAATCACCATTCACCCTTTTGCATATGTTCATCTTGGCTATATGTTATCTTTCACATTCCAACCTGTTTTCTTATCCCAGGTTGTGCCATCATCCCCCTTTTTGGGCCCCTTTATCTTATCTCATCCCTTGCTGTAGCTGGTTCACAGCATACAGACTTAACTGATGCTTTTTCTAGAAAAAATGGTTACCACAATGAAAGTGGTTACTTAATATAGACAAATGTGGTTACTTAATATAGAAAAATCTTATATATAATGTGTGTGTGTGTGTGTGTATGTATGTATGTATATATATTTCATAGCAATTCTATTATAAGGTTAAAACTACTTGCCTAAGCATCTGCAAGGTTATTTTAATGCATCATTTTTCCTTGTGACCAGCAGCTTTCCTGGGACACAGATCAAAGCCTTACACCAGCTGCAGGTTCAGTGCTCCCCCACAGTTCGAATGATGGTTACCCGAACACTCCCTCACAGAATTAGGATAGGCAGCAAAAGAGAAACTCAGCCAATTCTCCAGAGGTCATCACTCCAGCCGCACAATACACCCCTTGGGCCTGGCAAGGTAGACAGTGCTTTTGCGTCACTCGTACAGAGAACTGACCTTTGCCTATTGGTGATGACAAGTGGGAGAGTAATTAGGGTGCTTACTTTCCAGCCTGGGACTGAGCCAGGAACTGGGACGATGATGACATAAGGGGGTTTTCTGCTGTTCCTTTGGCATGAACATGCAGCTGAATTGATTTGCCTCTATTGCAAATACAGCAAATACATACACAAATGCTAACAACGCTAAAACCTAATAAAGCAAAAATGCTGATTATTCTCCAAACACCAGCACAGACTCGGTGGACTATTTGCAGTCATACAGATTACATTTCCCATCCCACATGGTTCTGCAATGTCCATGGCAAGTTTGTACATTCTCAGTGCTGAGATGAGATCCTCATCTCCACTCTTTTTCAGCCTCCTTTAATTGTTTTTCTAGTTGTTCCCGCTCTGGAAACTGATGTGCCCAAAAGGCAGTGATCCAGCTTTTAGGGGGAGTTGGTCTGACCTTGACGTTAAGGTTTATTGTGGGTAGCCAGTTTATTGTGATGGACTCTTTGGAAGTTTGATTTATAATAGAAGCTCCCTTTGCATCTATAGGCCACACACATTCTTCTGTATTGTTTACCCATAGGGTGTGGTTGGGCCAAATGAAGTGTGCAAGTCCATCCCAACATACCCTGCTTCCAATAGCAATTACATCACCATTGGATAATGGCTTGGCACAACTTAATTGTGGCAGTTGTTTGGGTCATTCCCTCCAAACTGTTCCAATACCTGTCCTTATTCCATGGATCCAATACAGGGGATTACGAACAAGAAACTTGGATCCCTCTGATGCAGCCACATCCCATACCTCCCTATGTATAGCCCAATCCCATTGACAACCACCTCCCACTCCTGGAGTCAAGAGTCTTCTTTTTGTCCAGAATCCACCTCCAGGCCCAATGGCTGTGAAGTGGCGGAGACCCTTTTGGCATCCTTCCCAGTTTTAATGTCCAATAATGTCTGAACTGCCAGACAGACTTTAGAGTGATGGATAAGCTGCTGTTGCCTAAATCGTCTGGCCAGAATGCTTTCTTACTGTCTTTTACTGCACCAATCAGCTGGGCACTAAGTGCTTGCTGGGTGCTCTTACATGCTTCATCCCAGGTTAGATCTTGGAATCCCATATATGCAACCTGCAATAAACCTCTCAAAATATGAGTTATGCTTACCCCTGCATGAGAGGTCGATTGGATGTCATGGATTAATACTTGGCTTTCCATTCTTCTTCCCCGGTCTATGTATGTGATGCCATGCTCTAAGTGGTCTAGCCAATCAGCATTGTTGGCTCCCTTATACAAGTTCCAAACTCCCATTGCAGAGTTTAACCCATCCCAGATAGTACCAGCTACATCTCTTTTCCTTTTGACAGGATGTGTTTGAAATAGGTCGGGCACAGCCCATTTGAGGAGCTATTCTTGTGCCTGACTTCCTTTGCTGCTATTGCGGAAATAACGCTTTAAAATCCACTCATCAGGAGTGAGTGTGATTCGCACATGAATTGCAGATGCATTAAGCAGTACTGCTCATTCCTTGCTACCCTCCCACCAGGGTAAGTGATGGTCCCAACTTAAATGTCCACCAGGATGGGGAATAGAAGACAATGGGGTGAGTACTGAACAGGTAATACCGCTGGCAAAAGTCATGGTGTTACCACAAAGCCAACAAGATCCGCATTGCATTTCTCGGTGGTTAGCGTTGTCAAATACTGTGACAGCTATTGATATCTGACTTGTTATTTGACACAACCTGGCACAACCCTGGGCTTACCATTAATCATTTTTCTCCTGTTGTCCAGTTGATATTCCAGTGCTGGGTTGGGGGCCTCCATTCTGATGTTATATCAGTGATATTAGCTCTCCATGTAATTTGTCATTCCCAGCACACTGTGCCTCTCTGTTGGCACAGATATGTGGTGCACCTCCCTCCCCCATGAATTCCTTTTGGGGAGGAGGTGCAATGGACCTTTCTGCAAGTGCTTCCTCCATGCTCTCCTCTACTACTGGGGTGGGGTTGGTGGAAACACTTGGTTTAGGACCTGATTGAGAGGGATTCTTGGCCACTAGAGGAAGAACTCCAGAGGATCCTGTTGCATCTCCATAGGGTGCATGCCTAGCACAGGGGATGAATCCCCAATACCACCCAGTTCCTCCATTTCTACTACAGGTACCTCCTTGCCACCTCCTTGGCAGAGATATTTTACCTTACCCACCAATGCGAATTTGCAACTTGGTCAATGGTTACATAATGTCCCTCTGGGTCTTTATATATGGGACTGAATGGGGACCCATAATCTAATAGTTTACATCTGGATATTCCACATGGTAATGAGGAGGTGAGGCAGAGGGCACGAGTTTGGGACTTGCAGTGGATTTTGGGCTGCTGGGCTAAGAGGTACTATGATCTGGGTGAGGGGAGCTATCGGCTGCAGGGGAATGTTTTGGATAATAAGCAAAGCCAACATACCCTTTAACTGGAAGTAGGATGCTCCAGTTGATGATCCACCGAAGATTTAGATGCACTGTCACCTTGATGTACTGCATCCTGGAACTGATCTTTAGGATCCTGTAAAACATAATTGTCCTTTTCTTTGGACCGATTAGATAAGTGATTTAACCTTTTTTATTTGTGACCAGTGTGCCCACTAAAGCCTTTTTTGTGAGCCCTCCAATTGGACCAAGCTAGGAACTAATTTTGCTACAACAGTATAGAGTCCTTCCCATCATGCCTTAGGAAAGGCAGGAGACCCAGGTGCTCGATACATGACCTGGTCTCTAACTTCAACTTGTTGATCTATAGGGTGATTAGGGTCATACCATTGCTTCATGTATTCCCGTGCTTGTTGCTGTGTCAGTGCTGCATTTTGGTGACTTTTGTTTACAGCATTGACAAGCATTTCTACCCATTGGTCAGTGGCTTCTCACACAATTACACCTTCAGGAATAAGGCTAAGTAAATTTCCCCAGTGGGGCATCTCTCGGCCAGTCATCAACTTGAAAGGTGAATGTTTAGTACTGGCAGTGGGACATGCCTGAATCCTCATTAGGATGAAGAGAAGCATCTCATTCCAATTTTTTCCAGTGATAGGCACTCCCTTTCACAACTCCTGCTTAATGGTTTGATTCATACGCTCCACTTGTC